TCGTGGTCAACGAGGGTCCAGATTTCCACGTTGAGGTGCAGGATGTTCCAGTCCCAGAATGTGGTATGTGTCGAACACTGTTCAGGGAATCGACGGGTGTTGACAACGCTCCCAGGGCCCACGGACGTACTCATCAAGCTCAATGCGACCGGTATCTGCCACAGCGATCTTCACTTCATGCTCAACGACTGGGCTCTCCCCAAGATGTCAGATTTAGGAGTCCGGTGCGCGGGCCACGAAGGCAGCGGTGTCATCGTCAAAGTCGGAGACCAGGTCAAGAACTTGAAGCCGGGAATGCGAGCTGGATATAAGGTGAGCAGGCCGTATATCATGTCCCCATGCATCGAGGAGGAAGCGATGCGAAGGGAGAGCCTTTCCAGAAGAACATACGCTGACGTTTCCAGCCAATCCAAGACACTTGCGGCACATGCGAGCTTTGTCGCAACGGCAACGAATGCTACTGTGCAAAGGCAGTCTTGACTGGACTGATGATCGACGGCTCATACAAGCAGTACATCGTTTCGCCCGAACGTTACACAACCCTCGTCCCAGATGGTGTAAACGACTACATAGCTGGACCTATCATGTGCTCTGCTTCGACAATCTACACATCAATCAAGGAGTCACAGCTGCGGCCCGGAGACTGGGCCGTGTTCCCTGGTGCAGGCGGTGGCGTCGGTCTACAAGGCGTGCAGCTCGCGAAAGCTATGGGTCTGCGCGCCATAGCCATTGATACTGGCGATGATAAGCAAAAGCTCTGTATGGAAACTGGAGGCGCAGAGCACTTTATCGATTTCAAGAAGACCGACAACGTAGGCGAGGAAGTGGTCAGATTGTGTGACGGCATCGGTGCCCATGGCGTCTTCGTCACCGCCGTGCAGACCTACCCGTCCTCGGTATCCTATCTGGGCAACCGTGTAGGCGGAAAGGTCATGTGCATTGGGTTGCCGCCGGCTGGTACTCAGCACATCGACGTGGACCCGAACCAGATGTGCTTCAGGAAACAGAGTGTACAGGGTACGCTCGTGAGCAGCATGGCGGACGTAGACAAGACGCTCGATTTTGCGAAGCGAGGACTGTTGAAGCCCATCTACACTGTGTATCCGCTGAGCAAGTTCAACGAAGCGGTGCAGAAGCTGAAGCGGGGAGAGATTGCTGGCCGGGCAGTTGTCGATTTCAACCAGGAGTAGAGGGGATGCAAAGTTCACCTGTAAATGAAATGATACACGTAAATTTGTTGCATTTCTACGACGACATGATGTGGAGAACGTGGCCGGGTGGTGATGCCTGGGCTCGTTTGGCATGTGATTGAATGGCCTTGGCATGTGTGCGATCAAGCGCCAGCCACGCCTCACCAAATACCGCAATGGGACGACATCCCTCCACTGCACGTCATGGTTGCTTGAGCAATGCGCCCCAGCCTACACAAGAGCATATGTCGAGGGCATGTCCAGCTCGTCGTCAATTCCGTCGTCCCATGGACAGGCTGAAGCATCGTCGAGGCGCACATTCAACGGGAAGCAGCCGGTCGTGGAGGACGACGACAGCGATGAAGAGGCGCTGCTGGCGGACGATGCACTAGAACGCGACCTACCTGAGCAGTATGCGCAAACAGCACCCTTGGTATACCTCCATACTAACGCGCATCTCCAGGCTGTCTTTCAAGCGCAGGCCCAAGCCGTCTGCATCCTCCTTCGGCTTCTCGCGATACCTCGCCTCACCCCTCGGATCAGCTAGCAACCGCGCTTCGCCCCAGCCACCATCGCACCGCCCGAACGGCTCCACCGAGCTTATACTCAACTATCTCGACACGCCTGGCAACGCAGGCGAACACCTCCAAGACACCAAAGATGCAAACGGGCTGGACTGGTATGTCGAAGGGCCCGGGCGACGAGTCGGCTACGACGACCTTACAGCAATCGACTGGATCTTCGAATACGCCAAAGAACGACAGAGGCTGCGCTATCTCTACACCGGCGCCAGCGGCGTACTTGGCCACCTCAAGCAGTTGGCAGACGCAAGCCAGGTCTGGATCATCCTGGTCGCTGCTGGTATACTGAGCGGCGGCATCGCAGCCTTCATCGATGTGGCTAGTGACTGGCTTGCGGACCTCAAGACGGGATACTGCCACAATGTTGATGGAGACGGTCGCTTCTACCTGAACAAGAGCTTCTGCTGTTGGGGGATCGAGGAAGAGCAGGCCTGTCATGACTGGAACTCCTGGGGCGCTGCCATGGGTATTGGGAGTGTGGGAGGGCGCTATGTTGTCGAGTACGTCTTCTTCGTGCTCTTCTCTGTGCTCTTTGCAGCATGCGCCAGTCTTCTGGTGCGCGAGTTCTCGCCGTACGCGAAGCATAGTGGCATACCCGAGATCAAGACGGTCCTGGGCGGCTTCGTTATCCGACACTTTCTGGGCGGATGGACACTGGTCACAAAAACGGTTGGCTTGTGCCTCGCAGTCGCGTCAGGCTTGTGGCTAGGCAAGGAGGGTCCGCTGGTACACGTCGCATGCTGCTCTGCAAACCTTTTCATGAAACTCTTTGGTAATGTGAACGGCAATGAAGGTCAGCGTGGTTCCCCATTCTCTGGTCTCCAAGTACTGACAGGAGAATAGCACGGAAACGAGAAGTGTTCTCCGCAGCGGCTGCAGCGGGTATCTCGGTCGCTTTCGGTGCGCCCATTGGTGGCGTGTTATTCAGTCTTGAGCAACTCTCATATTACTTCCCGGATAAAACTATGTGGAGCAGCTTTGTCTGCGCCATGGTCGCTGCTGTCACCCTGCAGGCTTGCAATCCATTCCACACCGGAAAACTCGTGTTGTACCAAGTCACGTATCATAGCGGATGGCATGACTTCGAGTTGGTCCCTTTCGCATTCCTTGGAATCTTGGGCGGGCTCTTTGGGGGCTTCTTCATCAAGCTCAACATGGGCGTTGCTGAGTGGCGCAAGAACCGACAGTATCTCAAAGGTCCCGTGACAGAGGTTGTCATCGTATCTTTCGTCACAGCACTCATCAACTTCCCCATCAAATTCATGCGCGCTCAAGCGTCCGAACTCGTACACATCTTGTTTGCCGAATGCGCCGACCTCGCCGAGGATACGCTGGGCCTATGTAAATCTGGCAAAGCAAACACAGGAGTCATTGCACTCTTACTCATCTCCTCAGGACTGGGCATAATACTTTCGGGCTTCACTTTCGGCCTGCAGATACCTGCTGGAATTATCCTCCCTTCTATGGCCATCGGAGGACTCTTTGGCCGTGCTGTGGGACTTTCTGTCGAAGTTGTTCAGGCGGCCTGGCCAACGCTTTTCGTTTTCAAATCGTGCGAACCAGACGTACCCTGTGTAACCCCAGGCACGTACGCTATCGTCGGTGCCGCATCCGCACTTGCCGGAACGACACGTATGACAGTTTCAATTGTAGTCATCATGTTCGAACTTACCGGAGCGCTCACTTATGTCCTGCCTATCATGATTGCGGTCATGATAAGTAAATGGATTGGCGACGCAATCTCCCCACGTGGTATCTATGAGTCCTGGATACACTTCAAAGGCTATCCTTTTCTTGACAACCGCGAAGACAACGGTTCCAGCATCCCAGATGTTGGCGCAGGTTATGTAATGACGCGCATCGAAGACTTGACTGCGATTACTGCGACTGGCCATACTATCGGATCGCTGCGCCAGCTTCTATCTCAACACAGATTTCGTGGCTTTCCTATCATAGACAATAGCCGCGATGCACTTCTCCTCGGTTACATCTCCAGGACCGAATTGCAGTACGCACTCCAACTTGCCTTGACGCCTCCCCGTACCTTGGCCGCCGAAACAGAAGCGTACTTTTCTCACCAACCGCTCTCTGATCCTGCAACATCACTGGACCTTCGGCCTTGGATGGATCAAACACCCATCACACTCAACGCTAGAGCCAGCTTTCAGCTTACAGTGTCCATGTTCCAAAAGCTTGGGCTACGCTATGTTTTGTTTACGGACCGAGGTATGCTGAAAGGCTTGCTTACCAAAAAAGACGTGTGGTACGTAATGAACGGTGTTGACGAAGAGCGCGAAGAAGGTGGTGCAGGGGTGGGGGGGAGAGGAGGTCTTAGGCAGGAGAGTGATGACGACGAAGAGAGCGAAGAAAGAGGGTTACTCGGTACGCCAGAAGAGGAACACGACGACTTCATTGGCGCGCACGATAGATAGCTGAGTGTAGAAGCTGTAGCACCATGTTCCACACGCGCACATGGACGGTGTAGTTTCTGTCAGAACAAAGTCTAAACTCTAATTGTGTGACGAGTTGCGGGTGATGCAACGGGACTCCAAAGCCCCGGCGAATGGCAAGGATGGCGTCCGATCGCTGTGGTGGCAAGTTAGCCGTTGATCGAGGGTGTGGGGATGGATGTGCGCTGGAACATCAGAAATAGCAATCCCGTCTTCTGTTCCTGCAGACCGCTACAGGGTCGCAATTTCGGCTTTCGCGACGTTTACAGATGGTCACGAGGTCTACATGCACCGACAGCGAAGGGCTACATGTCCACCGCTCCAATACGCGCCAAGATCCTACGCAGCCAATCGCACCTGCTTGTCATCTAGCGTTGTGTATCCAGCCAGTGATGGGCCTAGCGCGGTGGCTATACCGCGGCTTCCTTGCGCCTGCATCGACCCGCCCTTAACAGCCGGCCGCGCCCATTCTGACTTCAGAGCCTTTCACTCCTTCGGCCTTTGACGTGTCCCCTCGTTTGTCAGACGTCTTTGAGCTCCCCAACAAAAGCAACACAATCTGGAATCGAGCTTCAAAGATCTACGCCCGTCATGCAACCCTCATTAGCGTAACGCAGGAGCACGCAGCGGCTATGACTGAAACTTGGCATACGTCGCCGACAGGACATCGACGACGATTACCGCGTTGAACAGATCCCACGACTTCCCCGCTATTACGACACTGCCGATACTTTTTCTTTCACTTTCTCGCAGAGTCATATACAGACTGGGGCGACGACATGGCGGCGACCGAAGTCGAGAGGAAGAGCAGGAAGAAGTCCTCGCACTCTTCGTCCAAGACTGCGAAGCCGCGCTCCTCTTCTAGGAAACCACGCGTTTCGGCTTCAGTGGCAGACATGTACTTGCAAGATTACGCGCCTCCGGTCCAGGCGACCTCTCCTCAGCGTGCAGCAGCAACGAGGCCTCCCCCGACCCTCTATGGCTATGCCGCGAGTCCGCCTCAGCACTCCATTTATCGCCAGATGCCTGGGTCCTTTCCAGAAGACAGTTACCGATATGGCTCTCCGCCACCGCAGCCTGTTCAGCCATACGCTAGTCAATCAACGATCCGCTTTGCTTCTCCGCCACCCCAAGAACCCCGCGGTCAAGGCCCTTTCGAACAACAATGGAATAGTCTCGACCGAATGGCCGCCAAATCCTACCTGAATCTTCGCGATACGGCTGGAAAGAGTGTCACGAAACTGACGACCAACTGCATTGAGCGGCCCACCGCAGCTGTCGCTACAAAGAGCATGCAAACGTTGTGTCGCGGAGCTGCGCTATACGATATGATTAGTTCGAAGTTCGACGCAGTCATCACCAGCATTGATGACGATCACTTCAGCGGCAAAGAACAAGACCTCATGATGGAGTTCAGCGAGCAGCAGCAAGAAGAGGCTCAGAGAACGAGCCCTCCTCTTGGTGAACCAAGACGCCGACGCCAACACGAAGTGCAATCCCACTCTAGTAGCGATAAAGGGTCGAATCATTTCTCCAAAGTGTGGCTATACTCCAACTCCCGATTACCACCACATCTGCCGCCTTTCAAGGTATATCTACCAACGTATCCTCTACTTTGCTTGGCCGCAACCTACTCGGAGAAGGCGTACACGCCGCCAGGCACGAAGAAGAATCCCGAAATGGAGACTTTCATTCCTGCTGATTGGCGTAGCGGCACAAAAGCCATGGTACTCAAGTCCATCCCTGTGGAAGAACTGAATACTATCGTCTTCGCTATTCGCGGAAGCCAGACCTTTATGGACTGGGCTGTCAACTACAACTCGGCACCCCACAGCCCGGAGAAGTTTCTTGACGACCCGTCAAACCTGTGCCACGCTGGCTTTCTCTACGTGGCCAAGAAGATGATCAAGCCCGTGGCAGAACGGTTGAAGGTCTTGCTCCAAGAAAACCCCGCGCGTTCAAACTGCAGTCTACTCATCACCGGACACTCCGCGGGCGGAGCAGTCGCGGCCCTGCTTTACGGACACATGATGAGCACAAAGATCAATTCTGAGCTTAATTACCTGACCAGCTTCTTCAAGCGCGTGCACTGTGTCACGTTCGGTGCGCCACCAGTCAGTCTGCATCCTTTGAAGAAGCCTGATGACAAGCGACATCGTAAAAGTCTCTTCTATGCCTTCATCAACGAAGGCGACCCGATACCGCGAGCGGACAAGAGCGTGCTGAAAAGCTTGCTGAAACTCTATGCCAGTCCAGCACCTGTCGCGGCTTCTAACCTTGCTTCGACCGTTGCATCGATGTCTAAACCCAGCCTTCTAGACCCTTCGCGGTCTTCCCCACCGAAACCGAAATCGAAGTATGGTTTTGCCCCGCGCCTTAGCAGGCCCTCCAAATCTTCACTACAAACGAACACTACAAACTCGACTTCTTCTTCCTTGCCTGCATGGCCAATACCGCAGTGTACATTGTCACCTGCGGGGCGATTGGTAGTGTTGAGACAACGAGTCGGAAGCAGAAGTGAGGAAGATATCGAGGCAGTAACGGTGGACGACGAGATGTTGAGGAAGGTTGTATACGGTGATTTGCTGAAACACCAGATGACCGTCTACAAAAAAAGGATTGATAGCGTGGCTGTTAGGGCTGTCACCGCGAATGGGTGCTGAGTGGCCGGAATGGCTGTACACGAAATTGATGACCGCACACAGAAATGAATGAGCGATGAATCTATATACCCAGTTTCTTGATCTGCTGTCCTTATACTGCCTGTTTTCACGTCTTCCAAGCACATGCGCCCCAGATTTGGGGTCATGCTATTGTGAATTTCCCAGGCCCAAGAGAGAAGATGTTTGGAGATAAGCAGACGGGTTCTTTTGCATGATGATTGGTACAGTCTTTATACACCAAAACTTTGGTTCACACAAGTCTCATCTGCAGGGTTGCATGACGACCACTGGACTGTACACGACGATTAAGACGGACGCTAGAGTGCATGTTGATGATTCGAAATACACCAGCCCGTTCGCGTCTCGATGGCCTCTGCACTACATACAGAGGGCAATTCGGTATTTGAAAACTTTCTTTAGGCTCAGTGAGAGATCTCCGCCTACGGCTCGGCATTATAGACTAGCCGAACGCCAAACATACATACATAAGATACCTTGCTTCTTCATTATGTGTGTCAATGTGTGTAGTTCAGCGCTCAATTATCCAACATGGTGTTATATATACATATCCCGTCAAGCAAAGATCTAAACGTTCTGGCGACGTGCATACACTGGGTTGCGGAGGAGAATGCGTGGGCAACATAATCTACCACCATGATTTGACGGAGCAAGCCCAGACTAGGTACTAGCAAGCCAGGTATCCCTTGCGCGATCTCCCTTTGACGATTGCAATCAATGTAAAGTCGCCATTCCGGGGCGGGATGACGGAAGGGAGCACTTTGTAGTTTAGTAATCTCCACCCCACGACATATATCCGCCAGCTCCCCAGTGTATCAATCAATGGTATTCTACCAATGTCAAGTCCTCTACGCGCCCAATTTCTGACGTCCACAAGTCCTTGTATACCCACATGCGGCCGGTGGGCAACAACTCAGGCGCATGGCGAGGATCAGTTGACGAGGTCAGGCGTGCTAATAAACTACACATGCTCACCCGCCAAATCAGCCTTCACCTTCTACCTCATCCAGGCAGCACATCCGTGCATGTTCGTCCATGGCTGATCACATCCTTCTTCCCGCTCTCTAACCACGACTATACCCTCGACAAGATATCAGCGGTACGACTCAGCAATGCAGGCAGCCATGTTGTCGCATACTGGTAGCACCTGCGGGACGCCGTCGGCGAGAAATTGCGCCGATTGCGGATTATCTTCCGCTGAAACTCGTCCGCGTCGCAATCAACTGGAGACACATTGCGTCTGCCCAAGTCAAGAGAACACAGTATCACGCTAGACAACATACAGGAAGACGTCGACAAAAGTATAAAACATAGGCGGACGGCGCTTCTACGGAATATCTTCCACGCATCTCGCAACTGAAGACGACACAACAACACGACTTCCCTCGGCTCGATTACTACATCAACAATCAAAATGGCGATTATCCAGATTCCCAGCGAGTACGGGTACGTTCAAATGCAACGGCAGAAACCTCAATGCATTCCCTTCCACGACCCCTCACCAAAGCCCACCCACAAACTAATCCACACACGCACAGCCTCGTCCTCGCCGCCTGCGTCTCCACCTTCTTCGTCGGCGCCTGGCACGGCGGCCGCGTCGGCGGCTTCCGCAAAGCAGCCAAGATCCCCTACCCCTACGAATACGCCTCGTACGAGCAAGTGCAAACCGCGTCGCCGCAATCCAAAGCCGCAATGCTGGCCTTCAACTCGGCGCAGCGCGCGCACCAGAACTTCAACGAGAACCACGTCACCGCCCTCGGCGCCATGCTCATCAGCGGACTGAGATATCCTGTTGCGGCGGCGGTATTGGGCGCAGTGTGGAGTGTGAATCGCGTGGTTTACGCGGTGGGTTACACCAGGAGTGGCGAGGATGGTGGCAAGGGGAGGTACTATGGCGCGCTGTGGATGATTGCGCACTATGCCATGGTGCTTATGAGCGGCAAGGCGGCTTACGATCTTGTCATGGCTTGAGTGGGCTGGGTATGTGGGTACACGCAGGTTGCATGGAAGACGGGGCAGAACGCTGGATTGGAGATGTACTGGAATGTACTTGAGGATGTTGAAAAACATGTCTTGGTACTTCACGGTCAGGCGCTACCTGCACCTCGTCAGATTTTGACTTGGTGTGATATGCGATGAGAATGATCCGCTTGATACGAAGATGGCATGTGTCCCGTTCCTATCTCCACGGCTTCGAACTCTCTTGTATTATGGAAATCTCCGTATCAATCCACTGCTCCAGGGTCTAGCAGAACACGAGCTAGGCCTGACTTGGTTTCGTATCTACAATGTAAACTTTTATACGTGTAGTTCACACACCATGCCGTACTGCAGCAATCGATATACCTCAAAGCTCCTATTTAGAGGTCGTCTTTACACCTCCGTCTTTCCAGTGAGCCCTGACTTCTCCAATGCGATTATAGTACCATGTATATCCTAGACCTGGTTAGCCGCTTTGATAGTTGTATGTCAACTGACGGGAAAAAACTCACTGGGAACGCGGCAAGTAGACAGAGAATGTTGCCACAAAGAAAGATGCAGACAGACACGGAAATCTGAACAAGAATCAGTCTGGCGTGCTTCCACAGCTCATCCGCCGGCACACGGGAGTGTAGGACGATCACGGCAATGGGCGCTGCAAGCACCTTCTGCATCGTCCGTCGGCAAGTGTCTTGGAGGGTCAGGAAGCCGTTGCTGTGGTTGCTGTTCTGAGATGGGCGGGTCGGCAGTTCTGCGTGCAATTGAAGACCTCGGATCAAGCAAAACAGACCAAGGGCAACCGTAACGTTCAGGACATTGTGATAGCGTGTTGCAGCCGGACACTCGAGCCCCCTCTGCGCTAAACGGTCGCATTGCTTGCGAAGACGGCGGTCGGTGGCGAAAGTAGATGCTATGAGGCGCGCAATCTGGACAACGAGGAGAGTGAGAACTGCCTGTACGCCGAGAAAGAGGATAGCATGCAGGATTGCCTTGGCATAAACGATCGAGCGGGGACCACGGTTGGTGCGTGCCAACAAGGATACTGGTCCTGAATTCGGCGGTGAGATCCCGACGGTGTCGTCGACGAGAACGTAGCTATGCGTCTGACGGGTGCGACGGGATAGCCAGATGCGGGCGATCTCAAAAGTGATGGAGAAGATGGCGACGAGGAGCAGAGTAACGAGTGCGATGTTGGCTGTCGTCGAGAGATTCATGGCTAGGTAGAGAGGGAGATCTGGGGTTCAGAGTCAGTGGGTGTTGTGCTTGTCGCTTTGGATAACGTACTTCCCCGCCATAGCTCTTGCCATACGGACTGCATGGGTGGATCTTGCTTTGACATGCTGGTTGCGGGTAGAGTTTGATCCGGGGAACAGGAGAGATTGATGGGTGGAAGGGCCTAAGGCGAACAATCGATTGCTATGACGTGGCAGGGTGGAGGTGAGAGCGCCTCCTCCGTCGCGCCTTCCTCACCTTGGGCACGACTATCAAATGTGAATCATTCCGTTGAATCATATTTGTTTGCTGCTCTTTCACTCTAATTGACTCACTCCCGCTCGTACATGCAGAACTCAAATTCGACACCCTGCTCCTCAATCCCACCCTCTTGGATCTCCTCTCCAGTGAATGCCTGCACTTCCTCTCTGCTCGCGTTCCTCCAAATTGTTGTCTCTCCCAGATCGACAGGGAAAAATGTGTCGCACTCGAATTCCTTCTTTATCTTTGTGAGGAGAACTCGTTTTGTCTGCGGAAGTTGAAGCGCCGTTTCGTATATAGTTGCTCCGCCAATAACAAAAATCTTATCCAGCTCTATCGCTGAGCCTTGGAGTCTGCTATCATCCTGCTTCTCGAGCTGTGCTATCGCATCCAACACACTGGAGCAGACCATTGGTCCTTCGACCTCCGTATTCTTGTCTAATTTACTTTTGAACTCTTCTGGCTTCGACGTAACGACGATGTTTAGGCGATCTTTCAGAGGTCTAAACTTGGGGGGTATGCTCTCCCACGTCTTGCGACCCATGAGCACAGCGTTTACTTTCTTGATGCTCGCCGTGGACGCTGAAGGCGATGTACGCTTCGTGACTCGCGCAAAGAATCCCATCTCTTTTTTCAGCTGCGGCCATGGCAAGCCTCCACCGTTTCCAATTCCGAGACTCGGTGTGGCTGCAAGAATGAGAGTCAGAGTTGGTGTTTTAGGTGGCATTTCGGAGACGTTGATGTTGTGCGTAGCTGAGTTTTCCATCGATGTCGTGTTGTTCGGCTTGGTAGAAGAGCGTTGGTCCGGCATCGCACGACGTGTCTGGGTATTGGAAAAGCTTCGGGCACTGAGAGCTTGATCGTGAAGCCGAAATGCAAGCTGTATGAAGGTTAGACGTGGGATGTTGCATTAGTTGCACGCGGGCTTGCGAGCGGCGCTAGCGGAAACAACAGAACGTGATCCAGCCGCAGAGGTACGGACGTTTGCATGTGTCACGCCATGCTATTTTATGCTTGTGACACGTTTGCGCAATGTTGTGAAAATCCCATCTCTTCACGTTCAGCACGGATGATTGATGACTTGCATACGAGTTGACATTCCCGCACGAAAACGAGTTATAATACACAGGCCGGATACCTTCGATCATGCACAAGAAAATCCAACACCTGAACGCACGCTGACAATACGACACGCTGCGCTGCATCATTCCATCGTGGCCGTTCCAAACCCCCACGCCGGAATGGTCAAGACATTGAACGCCTAATAATTACACCTTCGCAATGCCGCTACCAGATCGGAACCATTTGCATGAAGAAGCAAAACCTCGTACAACCCCTTTCATGCAACGTCGTTCTTGTTTATCGAGTTTCCAATGGGTATCTTTTGGGTTATTTTAAGGCTTGCTGTAGAGCAAAAATCCGGACTTCCTCCACATACTCGAATACTGGTTACTCTATCGCGGAGGAGGCATGCCATACTATCCGCTTTCGCCACCTTCACCACTGCTCTTGAGTGGTATCGATAACGATATCTTCTTTGGCGTGCCACCATCTTTGCCAGAGTTGACATTAGGCGACTTCCGACGCAAACTCCGCAAACTTCCAGAACTGGCGTTACTAGATGTGGAAGCGCGTCGCTTTGGCCCAGCAGAGGTGGATATGCTTGCGAGGAGTTCGTCCTCTTCGTCCTCCTCTCTACGGCGCTTCTCCGATATCCGTTCTGGTGGCGATCCTGCGGAGGTCGAGTTGGGGGATGTACTTCCTTCTGGCAACTGGGTTGTCGACATTTTGTGAGCGGAGGCGGGCATATCGGTGGCGAGGTCGTCCATATCGGCATCGTCGGCATCATCATCTGGATAGTTGACGAGGGGTCGCACTGGCGATGCGCCATTCATGGCCAACTTTCCGGCCCCAGACAAATGATCATCCTCATCGTCTGATGTGTTGAAATATGCCTCCTCATCTGGGTCTGCATCTTTCAGGCCTTGGCCCCACTTGCCCCCATTGACAGCCGCGGCATGTCGTGCAGGTGTGTCGCTATCCACACTCGTAAAGGAATTGTCCATCTCTTGGGTCGTTACCGGCTCATGGTTCTGATCATACTTGAGTATCAGGTTTTGGAACGTATCCACGTACGTAATCTCCTGTAATCTTTCTCTATATGTCTCGACAAGATGCTGAACAATCATCTTGATGTTCTCGCGCCTGATGAATTCAAACAACTCCAAGCACGCCGAGTTGAGGAGATTATCGCGCGGCATGGTCTCGTATAGTATCTTCAAGATCGGTTCAAACAGCTCGTGCTGGATGATCTGGCGGTTGTGCGTCTCATCGTGAAAGCCGAGAACAGTGCGGAAGTACTTGAGAGCGGCTAGAACCCGTTAGTGGAAGCCATCATATCGATGTAGGGGGACTCACTAAGCTTCAGATGCTTCTCTGGGCAACCCATGAGCTGGGCAACCCGCACTGCCAGACCTTCTGATAGAATGAAGTATTTGCTACGGAAGGAATGTTGACGGATGAAGAAGCACAGAACCTCGACTAAATGGGCGTAAAGCGATACTTCTTGCATGGATAAGTCATCCACTGCAGCATGTTAGTTTGAATCACAAGGGGACGAACAATCACACTTACTCGACTCTCGGCCCTCAAGATCCTTGAGAGGCTGGAACAACTTCCTCGCAGACTCGTCATAGAAGTTCTGTATGAAGGAGTCTGTTTGGGGTATAGATGGCAGTTGCCCCCTCATTTTGGCCAGGAAGTCGCTGTTCGTCCGCCCGAGGGCTTCTATGGAAGCTGAGTTGGCATTGGGGTCAAGGAGGATCTTGATCGCATCAGCCATCTGCGCTTTGACCCCAAGGTCTACCTCAATGAGAAGTAACTCGATCAAGGTATCGGTGAGCGGTTTTGACTTTTCCTGAATGGCCTTGAAGATGTAACTTCGCACCATCAAGGCATCATGGTCGATCAGAGACACCAGTATGTCGGTTCCTGCTACGCGAACTGAAGCGTCCTGGTGCTTGAGCGCAAATTGTATCACTTCCAGCAAGCCACTGCTGATGAAGTTCTGATATAGCTGTGCCCTAACGTTGGCTTGCAAGCTCTTCGCAATTGCGCAGCATTGCTGGATGAACAAGACGGCGTCCTTCTTCCTCGACAAGTTCTGCTCTTTGGGGGAGAAAATGCTGAAAAGCTCTTTCAAGAATGGGCCGTTCGCTTGGAGATGCTGGACGATGTCGACCTGGTGAAAGAAGATGAGGGAGTTCAGAACGCTGAAAGTAGGATCGTCGAGGATGCGCGCAAGAACCACGTCTTTGAGGTATTGGAGTCGGTACGTGTAATGTATTTTCCGTTTGATGTTTTCGTCTTCTATCCGTACGACTTCCTTGAACTTGGATTCATCAGCGAGATATTGTCGATGGTTGGCTTTGTGTAGAGGAAAATCCGGGTCGTCTGCGCAATGTCAGCAAGCCATGTGAGAGGTCGCGGGGGCCGAAACTCACATTCCAGAGCCCCAA